CATGTTGTCCTTCACAAAAAAATTGTCGGTTGTTCAGTACAACAGGTTCGCGCACACACACACACATCGACGATTGCGCTATCTCCACGGAGATGGCGGCGGTGCACCATGAATATCCACATGATGGGCCACATGTTGAATCAAGCTAGCCCTGACCCTCGCTCCGAGGTCGGAGCCGGAACTAGGATCAATCTCCGGCGCGGCTTCGATGTTCAGATCAGCAAAATGACGTGGCAATCACCGGCGGTGGCGGCGGCGTGGACGGGGGTTGCGTGGCGGCCCGTCACCCTCATTGTCGCTACTGTGGTTAAACAGGGCCGGGTCGATCTCCACGGTGTGCTCAATCATGAGGTTGTGTAGTATGCACATAGCCATGAATTCCTTGCGCGACGTCTCCAAGTTCGCAATTTGAGTGCGGATGAAATTCCTCCATAAGGTCTTCAAACGTCGGAATGTCCGCTCTATACAAGATCTCACCGCTGAGTGACATTCGTCGTAAGTCCGATCTGCATCAGTTCTGGGGAATCTTCCCATAGGTGTCATGATCCACGGGAGAAGGGGGTAACCGGCATCTCCAAGCAGGTAACGACCCACGTGTGTTCCATCGTGCATGATAGCTCCACCCTCGCATAACACACCTCTGCCTGCCATGGTGTTGTGGTACAGTGGCGACATCCGCAGCACACGAGAGTCGTGCACGGACCCAGGGCAACCGACATACACACTGACAATTCTGCACTCGTTGGCACACACAACCTGGGCGACGACCGAGAAGTCTCCAATGTGATGATAATAGCACTCTGACCGTGTCCCCTTCGGCTTGTCAATATACACGTGTGTGCAGTCGATGGCCCCCACACATCCGGGAAACCCCTTCGCCTCGAAAGCATTCTGGACTTCTTCCAAACGCCTGCGGCCTTCCTGTAGGGAATTGGAGGAGGTGGCCGTACTCGTGGAGGATAGCATCTGCGACATCCTCATTGCTTCTCAACGCACTCGCAAGGCCCATACCTAAACTGTGGGCCGATTGCCGGTAGTACCCGCCCGTCGCCCATCGGATGAGTGCACAAGCGAACTTCTGTCCGGCCGGTAGAGGCAATCGAAAATTGGTAGGCGCATGCTGGATATGGGGGGTGATGCGCTGGAGAACTTGCAAAAACAGTGGTCGCGGTAATCTGCAGAACCGCACGAACACCTTATCGTGCTCCCCTCCCACCCTTTGCAGGTCCTTCCACAAACCTCCGCTACGCTCCAACATTCACAATCGCCTTCTCTGAAACCTCCGGTGTCTTCCTAACTCCTGCGCTGCCAACCAGCTCAACGCCATTCCGTGAACCACCCCCCCTGCAAGCATCGTCAGCGCCCCCGATACATCCCGGAACATGAACGGTTTGATGGCGACTGCTTCAAGAATGGCCATGGCCGCAGCGTTGAGCCTATTCACCCACTGGTTCATGAGGAGAATGAGCATGAACATCATGTCCTCCCACTCCTCCTCCGCACTAGCCACATCCGATGGAGACATGGCCACAATGTCACTGTTATGGGAACAGCGTCGACCCTTGCCCACCAGCTGTGGCGGCCGCTTGACGATGGCACCACCTTCCACAACCCCTATTCCTCGCCAATCCCTCCACCACAATCGGCGGCTATGGCTTCCCGTCAGTGCTCTGTGCATGCACTCCCACTCTGGAAGGACCGCGTCGGGGAACAGTGGTACCAACGGCAGGAGTGCGGGCGGGCGAGTGTTGGGGGGCGATGGAGTGGGACACCCGCCGATATTCCCAACGGTCATTTCCGTGCACAGTCGCGCCCCGGCGGCAAGCGGACCATGTGAGGCCGTTGTGATGTGCACGGTACCTGTGCGGCGTGCGCCCCACTTGGTCGCGCACGGCCACACACGGACATGTCCTGGTGCATGCCGATAGAACCACATCCCCGGGCCTACTTGCCTTTTCGGGAAACACCCCGGGCGGATTTCCTAATCGGGCATGTCGAAGAGTTTCCAGTGCCGAAAGTCCAGGGCTGCGGTGGGGTCCTGGCAACTTCTTCCCAATCACGGTCGGCCGTTTTTTGTGGCCAACAGCTCTTTCCAGCCGGAAACCAGTGGGGTCCAAGCCTTATAGTACTGAAACCCGGGACAACCATAATTTTTTTTTCTCTGTGCAGGTAGCCCTCCACCATGATTTTGAATGCATAGCAGCATCTGGACAGACACGAGGTAAAGATGCGTTCAAAATGTTGGCGGGTCCCCACCTAAGGACTGGATTAGTCCACCCAGGAAAACAAAATAAAATTAAAAAAATGGCGGATGGAGAGTGGTGCAACTAAGCCCACATTCCGTCTGCCACTCACCTCATGCGGACGAGACAGAAATAATGATGGTGTATCTTTCCATGTTCCTTGAGAAATTCTCAATTTGCACACACTTGGTGACATAGAGTGTTTCGAGCCCCATAGGTACGTGCGTGTAGCTCCTAGGGAACACAGGGGGATTTATTTTTTTTTCTTTTTTCTTTTTTCTTTTTTTTTTTCAAAAGAGAAAACAGGGGATTTCAAATCCAGTGAGCTTTCCCCCCGCCCCCCTCTCCCAAAAAAAAAAAAAAACCACCATCGGGTCTTATCTGTACCGAAACCTGATTCTGTGGACCGGGGACCCAAAAAAAAAAAAAAAAAAAAAAAAAAAAAAAAATCCATTGAACGGGGAATGGCGGGGGGGGGGGCCCCCCCTTTCCAGTGGGGGGGGCCCCCCCCCCCGCCGCTAGGCCCCCCCCTCGCCCCCGCCCCCGCCCCCCCCCCCCAACACCCTCCGGGCACTATCCTACTTAGCGTGATTATGCACAGAGGTCTACTGAAAATGTCCTAGGGATGAACAGGGCTATATCTCAGCTGGTGGGCCAAGGGAACTGTTGAAACACAGTCCCATGTTCGAATCCAGATGCAGCCAGATTAACACAATGACGCTCTTCTTTCTTTCTTTTTTTTTTTACACCAAAAGGAGTCTTTCCATTACAGGCTGGGAATCAGGCCCT